CTGCCACGCCCATCGAATGGGCTCTCATCTCCATGATCACCGCCATGGAAACCAATCTTAATATCAGCATTGGAAAATCATCATTCCTCGTGAATATGAAATGTGATACAGATGCCCATTTTTGAATTGCCCATGGCATCAGGAAGGGTATTAGATAACAAACCATAGGTGAGATGGGTTTTATGGGCTGGCCATCTTGGGTTGCCATCTAAGAAAGTGTAAAGAGATACTGTATGGAAGTAGTTATTGCCATGGTGGTGTCTTTTCTTGCCTGCTCGCATGGAGTTGGTAACCAAATTCATTGAGGTACTTTTTATGCTCATTGTCCACTTTTTTTTTTAATGGCAAGGCGTGTTCGAATTAATTTATGCACAATTCAACTAATTTTTTCTTGGATCCAATCAAATGTAGGTCATTAATGTCGAGACTGTAGTATTTGATGAGTCCAAATCTAACCGAGTCAGACCTAATAAATCAAGTAAGTCAAAGTCAGTTAAAAGACAGGTCAAGACCAGTTCGTAAATTTGACTCAACCCAAGATTTGAAGAGTCTAAGAAAAATTAGAGCACGCGAAGAGCAATTATTGGGATACTCACTCTCGAAAATTAAGACAACATTTTATGACACTTACTTTTTTGTAGCTACCTGGAGAATTAGTAAATTTGTTCTCACATGACCGCCTTAACCAAGGCTTTATGCCTATAAATTGTAAGTTCTCTCTATATGAGAGGGCATCTCTTAATCTATCTCTACACACCTTATACATAACTTTTCTCTTTCATAACTATTGTAACTCTCTCGGAACTAATCAGTATTCTCTCTCTTGTTTACCTTACTTTATCAATAAAGGTCTCTCGGTCACTGTTGTCATTTCTCGAAGTGGTGTAGGTCATTCTAACTAAATCACTATACATCTGTGTGTTAACTCGATATTTATATTATTACCATTGATTGCTCTATTAATTGTCTATTCATTACACTTTATCACACACTCGATTATTGATCTTGTATGAGATTATTTTGTACATTATCAGTATTTATGGGAAATAAATATTTCATGATCTGATTCCAAGAGTTACTAAGATTTAAATTCAAAATGTTTGAATTTATAATTCGTTTATATTATCACTTGACCGGGCGACTCTTATGACACCTTGCAAATGCTTGATAAAGTCGAAAGGAGAGGGTTTTTTGACCTTTTTTTTGGCTCTTCTACTTTTGCATGTTACATTACAAGAGAGAGTAGAAAGAGGAGGAAGATGAATGGAAAGAGCTTAGAAATTATAGGTGCCATGACCGGGCGACTCTTATGACACCTTGCAAATGCTTGATAAAGTCGAAAGGAGAGGGTTTTTTGACCCTTTTTTTGGCTTTTCTACTTTTGCATGCTACATTACAAGAGAGAGTAGAAAGAGGAGGAAGATTAATGGAAAAAGCTTAGAAATTATAGGTGCCATGACCGGGCGACTCTTATGACACCTTGCAAATGCTTGATAAAGTCGAAAGGAGAGGGTTTTTTGACCCTTTTTTTGGCTTTTCTACTTTTGCATGTTACATTACAAGAGAGAGTAGAAAGAGGAGGAAGATGAATGGAAAGAGCTTAGAAATTATAGGTGCCATGACCGGGCTTGTGAGTTCATGATGTTTACGTTACGTTGTCCTTTCAACTATTGATTTCTCATATTATTCCCTCAGTTACCTACATTGGTTTTATGCTGTCCAAAACGCAAATTTCCATTATTTTTTGGACTATAAATGTCAACATCTTGGAGAAAAATGAAACAAAATCACTCGGTTCAATAGATAAAGTGAAACAAATTTCTAACGGATGGTAATCTTTGGGGCAATATGAAACTCATAAAAGTAGTTGAATGCAAAATATGAGAAAAATGATGTTTGAGAGGATAAAGTGACACAAAGCTCATAGTTTGAGGGAACAAAATGTAATTAACCCAAAGACTATATTGACGCTGAAAGTTAGGCAGTTTCCAAGTTTTTTTTTTCGTCCAGTTCTTTCCATGGAAATGCGGCTTTTACTTGGTCCACAGAATCAATCAATGCATAATTGGCGATTTTCTTAAAAAGTTAAGTACTTAATTCTCAAAGCAGAAAGTGTTCAACGGTTTAACCTTTTATAATTAAGTTAACTTATTTTTCAGATATTAGCTTTGTAATTATCAAACAACGTGATTTAATGCAGTATGTAAATTTCAGTGGGCAAACAGTCCACGAATTAGAAATTTAGCATTCAGTTTTCAATATTCAACTTTCAATTTTATCAAACACCACTTTAGTACTATACAGTTAACACATGAAAATGTCATTTGCGTGTTTCGCGGAAAGAGGGTTTGTGTTAACGATGAGGTTCTCAATGAAATAATATTTTTAAATTTTGTAACTTGAGTCGTACTTAATTTATATCTAATCCATTTATAATATGGTCGGTATCGTCAATGGGTTGTACTTAGTCCGATTCATATTGTGCTTAGTTTATTTCGTATTAATCGATTTATTAAGTGAATTTGACGGTCACCAAATTATGATTTGTCTATTAAGACTAAAATTTTGTGTTTGTTTCGTGTCAGATTAGTGAATCGTACGGATGATTGTCAACCATTAAAAATTATGATAAGTATAAGTATGTCGAAGTTGATCGACAATCATAAATCTTGTGTTTGATTGATTTATATCTATTAATTATGAAAGATTTTACAAGTATTAAAATTTTTATCGAAAGATACGATACTGAGAAATCACTTTTTAGGATCATATCTAGACGAAAAAAAATTGAATAGAAGCCTAGTAGAAGCAACTGATAACGTGTATTGACCAGTTTCGATTATGCGTGTAAAATGAATAAACCAATTATGGGCTACGTGTGTAACATACTTTTTCTTCTGCTTTGATTTCTCATCTTCGATTATGGATGTTTTAATAAATTTATTTAACGGTTTTAAATAGATTTATTAAACGACTGCTAATATTCTTCTCAAAATCATTTAGAGTGTACCGTATTTTGAGGCACGGGTTACCCCTAATATAAATTAATATTGGCTAACTCTTAAGATGATTTAGTGGTTGAGTCTGGTCAGAACTCTCAGGTTCAATCTTTTCTCACACCTTTAAAGACTAGCTATCCTTGTCCTTTTATGGACATGCTCTAATTCAGTACAATCTTCTTTAGCTACGGTGGTCGACCACTAAATTCGAGTGAATAGTTCACACAAGCCTGACAAGTCTGATAACCTTATAGGAAAAAAAAAAAAAAACTAATATTGCCTGATCTGAGAAGTCTTTCTAAGTTGAGAAAAACTTTTTCAAGGTTCAAAGTACCATCGGAGAAAAGGTCATTTATTAACATCTATTCAAAATTTCAAACTTAAAGAAAATCGTCAATTATAAATTAATTGTCTGTGGACCAAGAAAAAAACTCGGAAACAGCCAAACTTTCAGAGTCAATATAATTTTTGGATTAATTATATTGTCCCCTCAACCTATAAACTTTGTGTCATTTTATACCCTTAACCATCTTTGTTTCTCATATTTCACTTTTAACTATTGTTATTAGTTTCACTGTGTCCCAATGGTTAACATCCTTTAAAAATTTGACAAAAAGTTATTTCACTTTGTACCCCAAATTGAGTGATTTTGTTTCACTTTTTAACATTTGTCGTCTAAAAGATGATGAATGTTTGTGTTTTGCATAGCGTAAAACAGTGTAGGTAGTTGAGGGACTAATGTGAGAAAATCAAAAGTTGTGGGGCAAAGTAACATAAACATCATAGTTTGAACCTTTTTTTACCTATAAATAGAACTAGGACATATCATATGAGTAAACATATAAGCCAACAAGCACTCACAAAGCTCAACCATGGCAACTATAATTCCTAAGCTCTTTTCATTCATCTCCCTCCTCGTCCTACTCCTTCCTCTCCTTGCCTATGCAAAGGTTGAAGAACCAAAAAAGGGTGATAAAAAACCCTCACCTTTCGAATTTATCAAGCATTTGCAAGGGTGTCACAAGGGTGAAAAGGTTAAAGGGCTCAATGAGCTCAAAAAGTACCTTAACAAATTTGGTTACTTGAATTATCCTCACTCTGAAAATCAAACGACCCATGCCCACGATGACGATTTCGACAATTTCCTCCAGTCTGCCATCAAAACTTACCAACTGAATTATCATCTTAACGCCACCGGAAACTTGGATGGTCCGACAGTGTCAAAGATGGTGGTGCCTCGATGTGGGGTGGCTGATATCATCAATGGTACTAGTTCAATGCGAGCAGGCAAGAAAAGGCACCACCATGACAATGACAACACCTCCTTCCACACAGTCTCTCACTATACTTTCTTTGATAATAACCCAAGATGGCCAGCTTTCCACCTCACATATGGATTTTTATCTAATACCCATCCTGATGCCATGGGTGCCGTGGCCCGGGCATTCGAAAAATGGGCTTCTGTATCACATTTCACATTCACGAGGACGGGTGATTTTGCCAATGCTGATATTAAGATTGGTTTCCATAGGGGTGATCATGGAGATGGGAATCCGTTCGATGGGCGTGGCGGGGTCTTGGCCCATTCCTGGCCACCAACTGATGGAAGGTTTCACTATGATGCAGATGAAGTGTGGTCCGTTGGGCCAGTGGCTAATGCTTTTGATTTGGAGACGGTTGCATTGCATGAAATTGGGCACCTTCTTGGACTTGGGCATAGCTCAGTCCAGGATGCAATAATGTTCTCAGGCATTCCTCCTGGAGTGACCAAAGGTTTGCATGGGGATGATATTGATGGAATTAAGGCTTTGTACAACGTTTGAGAAGTAATCATATATAAAGGTTGAACCTTATTTAGCTTGCATTGATTTTTGATGTTTCACATTATTAACTACCTTGGTTCTCAGCATAGGTCTATTTTTGCTTCAACAAATCAGAATGCTGTACCATTTCCATCTTCTAATAAGAAGAGTTATGTTCTTAAAAGGCTACTGTTGTAACTCAAAAGCTTCCTGCATTTTCACATTCTCCAATAATTCCAATCTGATCATTGTCTGAATCTGAAGTTAACTGAGCTTGAATATCCAACTGCTTCATCTCTGCCCCAAGCGGCCTGTACCCATTCTCGATTCCATTTGGGTCTTTTCTTTGAAGGTAATTAATCTCTTTTTTGGTCTAGTAGTCATCAATACCGAGATTAGGATATTCATGAGAGATAAATCTCTCATAATTAGACCTCAGGAAATTATCAAGGTTCAAACTCAGGATATCTGAGTTTTTTTCCCTTGAACTACCTCGGTTAGATACAAAAAATTCTTCATCCAAAGCAAATAGATAGATTAAATTAAGGATTGAAGAAGGTAATTGGAATGAGCTTTTTATATGAGTCAAGAGAACCATAACAGAGCAGAGATTGCAATTACTTCTAATTGGAGGGCCGAAATTGTCATTTGAATTCAGATCGTTTTGATTTGGGATATTAGAGAATTGAGGATGAAGAAAATAAATACAATTTGATTTACTTTTGAAAGTATTTTTTTTATTTTTATTTTATAAATAGTACACTTTTGATGACCTAATCTTCTGTTTTTTTTACGGTTAAAAAAATTTGTTCTTAACTTTAAAACTCTTTTTACTTCAGGAAGAGACTCATTAGTTGATCTAAGATAAGAATTAGTAATTATTCGACTTTTTTTTATTCATTTGTTATTATTTTACATTAATTTTTAGGATTAATTTCTTTTTTGATTAATTTTACTTTCAAGATTAGTATTGTTATTCTATTAGGAATAGTATTCTTGATTCTATTAAGAATTATATTCTTTAGCCTATGAGGAATAGTTCTTATATTCTATTATAATTATAATTTCTTAGTCAATAAAGATTATGACTTTAGTACTATAAATAAGGTTGCAAGTCTTATGCTCCGTTTGGTAGGGAAGATGGAAAATAGGAGGGATACACTTTATTTCTTTTGTGTTTGGTTGGATGGATGAAAAATAAAAATGACTATTTTTTTTGTGTTGACTAAAATTAGGGATAACAATTGAATCGTGTCGTGTCAGATTTGTGTTGAGTCATTACAGGTTTGTGTCGAATATTAGTCAAACTTAGCTTAACTCATTTAATTAATTGTATCGTGTCGAGTTGCGACTTGACCTATTTATTTTAGTATCGAGTTTGAGTTGTGCTATCGTGTTGAGTTGAAAATTTTTACACTTAGTTAAAATGGAAAAAATATTTTTTTTTAATTTAAAATTTTTATCTTTATTTTTTTTAAAAATTTTTGAAAAAATATATATACATATTTTACCATTGAATTTTTATATAAAATTAATATATACATAATATATATATATATATAGACAAATAAGATATATCTCAACCCAAATAATTAACTTTTCATCTACTTTTCTTCCGATTTTAGAGAGATTGATTTTGGTGAGTTGGAAGGAAAATTAATCTATCAACTTTTTCATCCTTCTTACTTTATCTTCCTTACCAAATATAATGTTTTATTTATCCCTCTTATTTTTCATCCTTCCAACTTTTCATTGTACCAAACGGAGTATTAGAATTGGAAGATATTTTTTTCTTTTTTTTTTTTTTTTTTAGGTTGAAGAAAAGTAGATACAAAGCAGAGCACGTAAAGGGAAAAAACTGACTACGAAGTTAACTACAATGCTAAGCATACCGAGTCTACTAAGCCCCTTGTGTGGACTAGAGCTTGGTTGTCATGCATCACTTCTTGTCTAACCATTTGCGGTAGATCATTTACACTCAACAAGCCTGTGTATTGTGTGGCAAGTCCCCATTTAGCCAAGGCACGAGCAGCTTTGTTCGAATCTTTGTAAGCATGAGTCATTGCCCAATCCGAATGTTGCGATAAGAGGTGTTTTACATCTAAAACAACCGTGGCAATGGTCCATGAAACTTTGACATGAGAAAGAGTTGCAGCAAATACTACTTTTTGGGAGTCCCCTTCTAGGGTAACATAGCACCATTCTTTTGTCTAGCAGACATTGCTTTCGCAATTGTAGGGGCTACCTCATTGTCTTGCATCACTGTAGCTTCGAGTACTTCCCCCCATTCATCTCTTGCGATTACTGCCAGGCTGGGAATATCTTTTTATTCAATATTATTTATTTTTATTTTTTTAAATGATTATTCTAAACTCTGGTGCGCTAGATTTTTTTGAGTATTAATGTTAGTGATACTTTTATTGTGTTCCGTTGCGTCAAATGGTATCAGAACAAGAAATTGTGTTGTTCAATGACACATAACGAGATAATCCTTTTTTACGAAGATCGTGGGGGTGAAAGTTTTGTGGAGAGTGTTAGAGAGGCAACAACGACATGTTGACACACAATTTCAAGAAATTCGAGATTTGCTCATGGGATTCAAAATATGAATTGTATTTACGTTGGTGATATTTTTATTATATTTTGTTGTGTCAAATTGTATCAGAGCAAAAAATTGTCTTGTTCAATAACACATAACAAGACAGTCCTACTGACGGAGATCGAGGGGTGAAAGTTTTATGGGGAGAGGCAAGAACAACAAGGCAGTCCTACCGACGGAGATCGAGGGGGTGAAAGCTTTATGGGGAGAGGCAACAACAACATGTTGACAGACAATTTCAGGAAATTCAAGATTTATGAGGAAATTTTTTATTTAATATTATTAATTTTGTTTGTTTTTTTTGAGAGAATGTTATGGTGCGTCAAATTTTTTAAAGTATCAATATTACAGCATCTCCAAGAGATAAGTTAAAGGACACACAATCTTCAATTTTTAGCAATTTAATCCAAAAATTTTATTCCAACAGATTATCTTCAAAATACTAAAAATAACATTTTGCTATAATGATACTCTTTATATTTAGAGTATTACTATAGCGATATGTAAAAATTTTTAATTATATATTTTTTTCTTTTCCTCTCCTTTCCTCCATTTTCTCTCTTTCTCCTTTTCACTATTTCTAAAAAAAATAAAAAATAAAAATATATTTAAAATGAGTAATTAAAAATATAAAAAATGTATTGGAGTGTGTATTAAAAAAGTGAGTAAAAAATCTAATTAATCATATTTTTACTGTATTTGGGTGTGTCACTAGTCTTGCAAGTATACCTCTTAAATGCAAGACACGGGTCTTTTAACTGTAATGTATTACGATTGGAGAGGACAATAGAATTCCTGTTATTATTTGTTTCGCTGTCGTAGAGTCACTCCAACCCACCCTCTATTTTCTCATTTTTAGTAAGTCAAACACTAAACATATTTCTCAATTTGCTTTCAATTTTCTATTTCGTTTAAATGACTCTTCAAATGTAGAGAGTCATTTAACCTCTTCAAATTCTTTTTGTCTCTGTCTCTATATATATGTTATAATTTTTTTAAAATTATTAAAAGTTAGTAAAAATTGAGTGAAATAATTAAATAAAATAGAAATCTTAAAAAAAAACTCGAAAAAATGACTAATTATATATATATATATATATATTTTTTCTCTCTCTCTCTCTCTCGATACATTATTTGGCAGGGCCTCACAGAAATCAAGAAAAATGAGAATCAAAGGCTATGTGTTTACTTTGTTCTTCGTTTTGGGGGTCATTCAAGATTCGATTGATGGACGCCCTCTATTACTGTCCTTATCCAGACCCCACCCTGATAGTGCTGCCGACTTCGCTCGATGGTTGGTCTCTCAGAATTCCTGGGGCGTCCTCAAGTATAATCTCTCTTTCTCTTGCTTGTATAGCTTCTATTTCTGTTTACACATAATGGGTTTTTGCTGATTATACAAAACTGTAAATATATGTGTAGTGTTTTATTTGATTTGACTATTGCTTATGTTGATTGCCCACTCTGAATCGTTGTGATAAGGGTTGCTCATATATAGTTCGGTTTATTTTTCAGTATTTGAGCTTTGAAGGTTCATTTATGGATGTACGCAAGGGATAAGGGGAATTAAAATTGTATGTTTATTATGAGTGAGTTTGGGCTTCTTGTGTATTAGTTTTTGATGAGTATGGTTTAAATGGTTAATGACTTAGATGCCTTGACACTACCATTTATTGCAAATTACTAATTGATTGTTAGTTCATCTTTGAAATAAATTCCTTATCAATAAAA